CACCGTCGTTGAACACCAACGAACGCAAGCACAACGGTGCACCTTCGACAGGTAACATTGGGGTTTACCACCTCACACTATTCGTATCCAGATGCAAGTGGATCGTGGTTGAGTAAGCCTCGACAGGAAGATACGTAGGTGGCACACTTTTGGTTGCCCTTTAGCACCGCAGTCACAATTGATCGTTATTTAGGCTATGCAATGAGCTGTCCTTAGCCCCTATATCGCATAATTTGGTAGGTTCGGTCAGGAGAGTCAGATGCCAAAGTTCCTTGCCACCGAGTTGTAATTCATGAAAACACGGATCCCTTCACTGCAGACTATTACGAGGTGCGAGCGCTTGTAGGCAAAAAAACCTAGGTTGATCCTAACAACCACATTTTTACTTGTATGGAAAAGCTGTAGTTTGGATTGGAGCTGATTCACGCGGTTAAACATACGCATTTGAAGAGCTCAGAGTGTAAGAACTACAGTCGGCTGGATTCACCTTCTGTTGGGTTGGAGCCCGTACCAGAACCGCTTCGTTACAATGTAAGTTTTTTTTTACTACAAGGAAAACTCTATGATACTCCCACCCGTACTTTCGCTTCACAGGCAACATGCTTCCTTCTTATTTCGATTCCATTCCTGCGAAATTTGATGGAGAGTCTCAATTGTGAAGGGGATAAAAATTTTGAAGAGCCCTTCATTTTGATAAAGGGGGAGAACGTCCGCGGACAGTGTCACTTTATTCATTAATGCTGCGAACGTACATTGATGAGGTGAGCATTTTGTCTGAAAGAGCCTGAATCTCCGCATCTCTCTTTGTACATGCATCAGATCCTTACTTTAGAAATGTTCACATCGATCGAAATGAAAGGTAAAAAATTTCCATCGAAAAACCCCTCAAAGGACTCAGGCCAGCCTCTGAAGATTTTAATCTCCCAAAAAATAACCATTCAAAATAAAAAATTTCAAAAATATCCATGATTCTCGAGCTTCGGTAAGATGAATAGTGGTCGATTTCCGAGGAACTAAGGTATGTGAGGACAAAAACAAGATGCTGCAACCTTTGAAAAGAGTTTTCTACTTTCTTGATTTCTGTGGCTTCTGTAGAACAGTCACACCAGGAGAAGGACGTCTAAAAGAGTTTGTATTGACGAGTAAAGCTTGTAAAATGAGCGTATTTCCAAGGACCCAAACTAACTTGCAGTTCATGTTACTGTGGTGTTTCTACTGGTTCGTCTTAGGATCAAAGACTTCAACTGAACTATGTACTAGCGAACCATTCATCCCATCAATAGCATACAACTTCCCATTGACTGCAGCCAGCCCAACTGAAAACGACACCATTTCAAATAAATAACAATAAGGAGGGAATAAAAGTGGCTCATTACAGCTCGTCCTTTTCTCATGGCAGCTACTGAAGTCCATTTATTAGTTTGGGGATCGTATTTTTCAGCAGAGCTTAGATCGATCGTCTTTTCCCTGATTTCCCTGATTCTCTATGTAACATCCCATCCTACATACAATTCACCAGAAAGGGAAGAAGAACCATGAGAATACTGAGGTGCTGACATAGGAAGAACGTCGTGCCATCTACCGTAGTACGAGGGTCGAGAGCCATTTAGCACGGAGACAGAAAGTTCATAACGAATTGAACCCATTGGTGCCATAGTGATCCATTCATTTCGCCGAACCTCATAGCTACAGCGATACAGCGAATTCAATGTATACAAAGCCCATAGCCCTGCCCTTAGCATTCAACATCTTTCAGCGAAGGACTAACCATTGTTGTGTGCAATAAAGATGGTGGCCAATAGCAGCTACACCAGGTGAACACCGAATGGCAGGAGGGTAATAGACTCACACAACCATTTATCAGTAGTAGGATTATATCTAAGGAACAGTATCGAATAAACATTCTCCTGATTCATGGATTTGTGTTTCATATGGCTCAACGAATTTCTCCCACTTAAGTGAGGGTCAAAATCTCGAAATCACGAAAATGACTCAAAAATTTGTCAGAGCAGACGGTGAAGAACGGTTCATGATCCATCGAGCAAATCTCGGCAAATATAGCAAAGAGAAAAAATAAAAAAAATACAAATATAGCAAAAGCGAACCGTCATGCTGATTTTAGACATCTTTGGAGGAATACCTTTGTGGGACCACATTTCCGATTGAATGCTCGAATTATGAATTAAGACATGCTAGTTAAATTGTAATCTGAAGTCTTTTTTTTAATTGTCTTCAATTTTGAAAAAGTTTACTGTAACTCTCGAAGCTGTTCGAAAATGTCTTGAGACGGCAGAAAGCGTATAAGAATCCGTGGTGAGCAGCAATGTGGGCACAAGTCCTACATATGTAGTCATACATTCTTGAAGCCTATAAATCCACGCTAGGATATTTTATACCTGTTTTTGTTCAAAGGAGCAACGACAAACCATGAGGACTGGCTACTGAGGGTCGAGGCATTTAACTTTCCTGCTTGATGAATTTACTGAAAATTTACATATTACACATTTGGAGGAACTCCTGAGGGCAATAAGTAGGTACTAAGGCAATACTGAAATCTCAGGGTGAGAAAAAAGAATTAGACTGCTTTTTTTCACCACACCCTATGCCCTTCTACACCTTTGTATCTCTTCCCTATTCCTTCCCTGCAGAGGCAAAAGGCGTAATCTTCAACGAAATATCTTATCAGACAGAATTCAGAAATCCTTGAATTATAATAATGGAAGGCTCTTAATCTGTAAAAACGGAGGAAGAAGACGAATATGCTTCACTGTTGGATTATCCAACTTCGTCGTACTGACGTATATTCTTTCAGCAACCATTTGTCGTGCATGGTAATTCAGCCTTAGGATTTTCGGATGCCTTGAATGGTGAAATTTATGTAAAAACTGTATCTAAATGATACAAAATGCTGATAAGAGGGTAGTGTAGAACAATTGTTTATCGATAGATTAACAACTTAGTAATACCATTACGAAAGAGGAGAATTTCAAATAAGCTTAATAATTATTCACATCGAAGTCTACTTGGGATGGGAGGGAAAGCATTTTCACTTAATCCAGCTATCTCGCTAACCGATACCGTTGTAACACCCAACTTCAACAAAAATAGGGGACCGCGCCTGAAATGAAACGAACGCTGATAGTTCCGCGACTCTTGAAACCGATAACTGGCCCATAAAAATTTGTATGTATGAATAGATCACCAAGGTAGCAAATCAGCACGGAAGGGTGCCAGATTGAGATGTTAGTCAGGCCTTGCGAAATCTCAAGGGACTTACTGGTAGTGAAGGATGCAAAATGGACTATGTAATCGCAGAAGTCAAAAGGCGAATCCCGACGTAATGTATGTAAGAGCCACACTTATTTCAAATACTTCCATTCATGGAGTACATTGCGTTGGATACAGCTGTTCTTTACTTCACCATAAAGCACGAACATGGATTCCACATCAGGAGAATTAATTTACGATCGCGATTTAGTAAGCTTGGTTGGAAGGTCCGTGGCACGCCTACGGTTGCCACTCAGCATCGCAGTCACAGTTCAGCCTTGAAGGCACGGTTAACGATAATTCAATGGGCGGGGACGTCAATGGCCTTCCCNCCTTTGCTATTCTTCTTGCTGCCGCGATCCCTCATTTAATTTCCTACTTCTAGAGGCTGAAAAAGGTGAGCTACTTTTGCTGTTACTAGGGTTTTTTGTTTACTTATGCTTGTAAGTGAATGAATTTTTGCTTACCATTCTCTTTTGTTCTCACCAGGACCCACACGCACGCAGTGAGACACACTGTATAGCTCGTCCAAACGCCCCACTCTTCTTCATTTTTCTGAACTCATTCTCGTCCAACCCCTTTTTAACACTTTTTTCAGAGCATTTTCATTTTGGAAAAACCGATTCACGCAGCTTCTCCACCTTCATCGCACTATTTTCGATCTTGTCCTTCATTTTTCATCATAATCTGGACTACCCAAAATTATCGTGAACTGTGCCTTTAATAAGGCCATGCAAGAAGCTGCCGTGACAAACAAATGTTCATGTTAATATTTCTACCATTCACCAACATTACAGTAGTCGGTTGGAGTAACAGGTTCGCCTAGGCCAAGCTATATCCATCGAAGCTCATATAAACCTATACCGAGGTTTAGGGCATGACAATATGGATCCCTTCACTGCTTAGTAACTAGAGGTAAGAGCGCTGGAGGGCAAAGAAGTTGGCTCGATCTTAACGGCTACACTACTTCTAAGGAGAATTTGTAATCAAAATGTGAGCTGACTTAAATGGGCAATGGTGTATGAAGAGCTCGGCATGCAAGAAGTGCATCGACTGGATTCAACTTCCGTAGTAACTCTCTCGGGTTGAGTCCGTGCCAGAAAAACCCGCTTCGTTACAATGCATAAATGGAGCTTCAATATTTTTTGACAGTAAGAAAAACCCTCTTGATTCTCCCACACCTATGTACTTATGCTTCACAGGCAACACGCTTTCGCCCTCTTCCAATATCCGGGCTTGCAAAATTTGGTTGAGGGTCTTCATTGTGAAGGGATAAAGGTTCTGAAGAGACCTTCATTATCATCAATGTGAAAACGCCCACAGACAATACTAATCTATGCTTAACTAATGCTGTGACCCTTCCTTGATAAGTTTTGTAATTTGTCTGAAGGCCCGAATTTCTGCATCCCTCCTAGTATATTCTCCAGATCCTCACTTTAGAAAATGTTCACATCGACCAATGTGAAAGTTTAAAAATTGGAAAAAAGTTAAAAAATTAAACGTGCTGAACGGAAGAGGCAGAAGTACAGATCAGCCACAGAAATACTAAATAAAATTTATTTTAATCTTCAGAAAAAAATAATCATTCAAAGTAAAGCATTTCAAAAATGTTACCGATTCCGAAGGCCTCGGTTATATGAATGGTAATCGATTTCCGAGGAAATAAGGAATGTGAAGATAGGAACAACATGCTGCGATCTTCGATAAGATTTTTTTTGTTTTTGTTTTGATTCCTATGGCTTCTGTAGAACAACAACACCGGGATAGATCCGTCTAAAAGAGTTCGCATTGAGGAGGGAAGCGTAAAAATGAGCGTACGGTCAAGGACACCAACTAACTTGCAGTTCATGTTACTGTGGTGTTTCCACTGGTTCCTCTCAGGATCAAAAACTTCAGCTGAACTACTATTAATCCCACCAATGGCATATAACTTTCCATTGACTGCAGCCAGTCCTAACTGTAAATGACACAACTCTTCATCAAAGAAAAAATGGATGAAGTGGTATAGTGAATACAGCTGACTTACACCATCTCGGCTACAGCTCGTATCAGCCACTGAAACCCACTTATCATTTCGGAGATCGTACTTCTCAGCAGAGCTCAGCCTCTCTGAATCTTCTTTGGTTCCACCTGCTACATATAGTTCGCCATGGAGCACTGCGGAATAATGGCAATATCGAGGGGTTGACATGGGACAAACCTCTTCCCATCTACCGACCCGTGGGTCGAACCTGAAACATGAAAGGTTATTTTGATGGCTGTTTCTAATGCGCTTTAATATGTTCATAATCCATCCCGAGGAGACCTCGAAAGGAAAAAAATGGTGCGGGACCATTGTAAGTACAAAAAATCAGCTTTCATAAACGGTCCCTTAAGTATCCTTGCTCATGCATAGGAAAAACTCTACTCTCCTGATTCCGAATATCAAGGAGGTATAGTACTCCTACATGCCTCGAACTATGTGCTTAGTGTGTTCATTTCGAAGGGTTCTGGCGGATTATGAGTCCGTTTCCTACTCCAGTGAAATATAACTTATCGAAACATTAACCACCCAAAGTGCTGATCGACATAGCTGCTTCAAATTAGCGTACGAGACAACCATGATTTTTGGTTCTTTCTATAATTGTTTCACAGAAGTAATTAAAGTTGTTGAATGCTAAGAAACTCTCTTAGAAGCAATACAGTGTCACCAGATTGAAATTGACCCACCTCTCTACGGTATTTATGTAGAGCGGTTTCTCCAATGTACCCTCCCACTGCGTAGAGGCAACCATCTAATACGGAGACAGCGGGAAGGCTCGGCATGAACCCATAGGTGCCACAGAGGTCCATTCATTTCGCCGAATGTCGTAGCTATAGCGACATTGCTGAATTCAGTGTATGCGAGAGTCGATGAAGCCTGCCCTTATCGCTCAACAATGTCTAAGCCCTGATCACCGTGGGTATCAAGGACACCGCCAATTGCATAAAGATGATCGTCAAGAGCTGCTACACCTAGACAAGTTCGACGAGTGGGACAAGGAGCGAAGTCAGACATCCACTGGTCAGTCGCAGGATTATATCTGAAGAGATGCAACGAGAAAAAAATCCTTCCTATCTCACATGGCTATGCGAATGGCTTGAAGGAAACAGGAAACCATTCTATTCGAGCGACGGACTCAAACTTTAGGAGAGTACGCTCCAAAAAGCGCCCACACGTCTTTTTGAAAATGCAGTCCTAGAAAAACGAATTAGTTTTCGTTTATTTCTGTGTTTTTCATTGAAAGCAGATCTTTGACTGACCCTACTTCCACTGAAATAGCGGACTCCCACTGATTTAGGACTGATTAAAAGGTAATACTACAGGAAAACAGCTTTAGTTAAAGCTGCTCTGCTTTTCAGTCAAAAAACGCAGTACCTCTCAATGACATTGTTGCCATCACGGACACATACCGCATAAATGAACCTGGCGACCACAGCAACTGAACAGCCGGTAACACACCTAGGGACTTGAGAACTTTTCGAGATGGTAGGCACGTATTAGAAAAAGTTGTACCTTTCCTGGTTCAAGGGAGCAACGTAGTGCCATACAGGATTAGCACCTTCAGGATCCACGCACTCGACACTTTCCTCGCATAACCCACCCACTGGAGTTGTACATACATTTAAATCAAGATAATAGAAATAATGAAACTAAGAGCATCAACTTCCTATAGAAGTGTATAGCAAGAAAAAGCCAATACGGAAGCCGGTAAAGCGAGGAAAACTCGGTTAAAGTTTTGCCTCCGTGAAATGGAACAAAAAATCAAGAAAATTTTGTTGAGCCTCATACCAACATAGATTACTCCAGCAGCCATTCCACACGCTCGAGCGCGCCTCCCTTTTGTATTCGAACATTCGAGGGTAGAAAATTGAAGAATTAGGTCATTCTAGAACTTGAGCCTTTCGAAAACAGTTGAGAATCCAAGGAATATCGGCTCCTGACAATTCTAGCAAACAAATTTGTCAAGAGTAGTCTTCTAGCGAAAGCTTCTAACCTTTGCTTTGTCAACAAGGTTGTGGCAGGTGGGGTCTGCCATCACAAGGGCATTTTTACTTCTGTATTGACAAGAAACTCCGGCCGACAGAGTAAATATCGCGCGTGCTCCAGTAGCTGCAATCGTTGAATAAATGTTAGCATCTGAAGAAGCTCCAGGCTTTTACCTTTGGGAGCAATTGCTTCCGAGATGATTAGTCGAACTCAACCCATTGAAGTAAAGCACGGAAAACCTAGAGTCATACTTGCTTGTAACATATTTGAAAAATAAAAATACGCAAAAAACTACCCAAAAACGGGCCCGAAGTTTTATTGAAACTGACACAGTACCTGCTCTTCAAGAGTTACAGCGAGTTCATCAATAGACAAGAGCTGAACTAATCGATTTATTGGAAGATGATGGAACTCTTCAGTGCCAACAATGTCCTGAAAGATAGGAAACAAAGTGTTTGTAATCGACGAGCCTAAAAGCAGAAACTGCCTACCTGGAAATTCTCTAAGATATAGTCATCAGCACAACGAACAAGCTCTCGACAACAGTGATTAACGGCACATTCTCGAACTTCCAGGCAATTTGATGTTTGTAACTGCTTCTTAAGAACTCACAACAGGCCTCCTACGTTTTCATTATGTAGCAAAAATTATCGCTATTTACCGAGACCTTGAATGTAGAGAACCTTAATTTCGTCCATGTGAAGCAGACAAGCAGCGTGGAGGATGCTCGGAACATTTACGCCGCTGATCTGTATCTTACCAGAATAGCAAAAATCAATCAGAGCATCAAGCGCTGCCCCTTCGATGTCGATCATTTCTACTTCTATAAGTGAATTGATGCAGAGCTGATATTTAGAAGCAAAACATGATTAGACTGTAGGCCCACACGTACCCTGCTGATTTTCCATTTCACTCAACAAGGTTTTGAAATAGTCCGAGTATGCAGCAAGTACGACTTGATGTGCGTTGATACGGGATTCCTGAAAAGCCCATTATTCGAGTTCACTGAACCGCCAATTTCTATAGTTTACCTTGGCTATCAAAGTCACGTCACAAAAGCGACCGTCATTACGCAATTCTGTAAGTCTGGAGACCAGGGAGCGATTGTGAGTTTGACTCTGAGCACTCGAATGGAAAGATAAAGTAAATGACGAGTTTTGCTTACAGTGGGCACAGTGGAAATGGTCATAGAGAGTAGTCAACGATTACTTTGGTTATGGAATACGTCCATATCATTCTGTATTCCCAAGCTAGAATCTGATTCAAAGTGATGTTTGCACCTGATTACATGTCATGCTTCGATGCTATGCCACAAAACAGAACGAAGCTTCACTCAGGCTCTCGGCTCTTACACTAACCCCCTGGCTTGTCACCAGCCACTCCCGTGTCCTTGCCCAAGGCCCCTTTTCGACGGGTCGTATATGTGACGGTGGGAGTTTGTGTTTTATCACGTGTCGGATTACTGTAAGAGCCGAGTGCCGGACTGAATTTCGTTTCTGTTGCCAGAAATACCTTCACCAACTACATTGTTCACCTCAAAATCGAGCACATCCTCCACAATATTACTTGCCACAGACGAGGCTGACATTTTCTTGCTTCGTGCTAATCCTGCTGGTTTCACAGCTATGGTTACCTTTTGTAGGATACACTTTTGCTGATGTAATACCTGAAATATTTGTGGTAGAAAACTGAGTCATCGGTTAATTCACTTCTAACTAATTGATTCATTGGCAAAAAGAAGAATGGGAAAGCAATGAACAATATGTCCTAAATCGACATCTCATTGAAGCTTATGGCACTCAATTATTATTAGTCATAGTTTTTATGGTTGGGTGCCTTAAGATTTTAGTTCAACGGAAATGAAGTAGTTGCAATTGAACAGGCGGTAATGTATTCCAAGATGGATCTTATCTACAATGAATTTGTTCAGCGCAAATGGCTGCTTTCATAGTCCGCCGGCCGGCGTGCCTGCCGAGGCCGTGCTAGGGGGAGGCAGACAGTCGGCGAGCCCCTTCGAAGGGCTGTAAATAACGAGAGACAATATCAAAAATCAAACAACCAGGGGCTCGTACAAATGGTTTTTGATCTTGTCTCTCGTTGTTTACAGCCCTTCGAAGGGGCTGACCAACTGTCTGCCACCCTTCTCCCTCTGCCTCCCTTCTCCCCCCTAGCACTGCCTCGGCCGGCGGACTATGAAAGCAACCAAGGAGTAATCGTAAGTACTGCGAGTGCCGGCGAAGCCGATGACTGGCCGTTATCGATTATGGAAGTGTAGAACGTCAGGAATGCAGATTAATAGCGCAGATCTTGCAAATTGCTCAAGAGGGTGTTGATCGGAAAGTTAGCGCAATGCTTGGAGACAGATGGGTTTCGGAAGACATGCTGTAGAAGGCAACATGTGTCGAAATCCTTTTTTGTCGTGGGCCATAGCGCTCGAAGTGGTGCATTGACCTGTTATCGCATCACTTGATGAGACCAGCCGACGTGTCATTCATCTTCGGAAACTGATTGGGGGATCGGTATTTGTGTCCAATTGTAATTACTTCGCACCTTTCTTGCCCATCCACCACTCGCCTGAGGGGTGACCTCCCTTAAAGGCATTGTTAACGAATAAATGGTTTCGAAGATATGTACATGGTTAGAATTCTAAGCCCCCTCTGATAACATTTGTGCAGGAATTAGGTCGGAAAACGGCTGATAGGGCACAATAGGCCAGGAACAGTGGGGGACGGGAGGCCTCCGCCCCTCGCTAGGCTGACTACGTGTTCAAGTTGTCCTTCACCACATTCGCACTGGAGCGAAGTTGGTGAAAAATCAATACGCTGATTGGCAAGTTGCCAGGAATGGTCAGCTGGTCGACCGCCTCGTACAGGAGCTAGTTTTCGGCTGTTATTTCTATTTTATGTTTGTTATTTCTATTGTTTATTTGTTATGAATTTTTCACGATAGCTTTCTTCAACTATTCTCGTAAGTTTCTTGAAGATCCTTACTATATATAAACGGCAAACGTCCGTTTGTCTGTTTTTCTGTCTGTCTGTCCTTCCGAAAGTCACGTAGGCACGATGTGGATGTGAATATCACGTGAGCGCGTTGAGGAAACAGTTATGAAATGGGAAGTCAACCGACACTATTGTTGGTACTCTAATAAATTGTAGGTAAGCGATAGTGATATAAGGTGCACGCGTTAGCATGCGTGCGTGAGCAACTGGTTTTAACATATTTTGGGTAGATTATTGCATGCAAATGTTTTTTTATTTTAGAAACTCCGTTAATTTCAATGTGTTGTCTGTATTGCAGACATTGCGCCG